AGGGAAAAGAGGATCTCCCTGTCGAACTCCCCTCGTGGGGGTAATGGGCTGGGTTAGCTCGCCATCCCAGAGGATTCTCATATGATTCTGTTCAACACAAAACATGATGCATCGAATCCAAGAGCTAGGAAGGCCAACTTCAACCAGAGTATCTCTCAGGAAGTCCCATCGGAGCCTGTCATAGGCCTTCTCCAGGTCAATCTTGATCACCATGCCACCCTTTTTCCTTTTTCAGGGAATGCAGCACCTCTTGGACAACGAAGATGTTATCTGAAGTTTGCCGCCCCGGAATGAAACTGCTTTGGCGAGGAGAAACCAGCTGCTTCATGATCCCTTTCAGTCTGCTCGTCATAGCCTTTGTGATAGCCTTCAGACTGACATTATTTAGAGAGATGGGCCGGAGTTGATGAAAAATTCTGGCTTCTCAACTTTGGGGATGAGAACGACCGTTGACTCCGAAATGGCCTCAGGCAAGCTTCCACTCTCGAAAAAAGCTAAAGCCATGTCCGTAAGAGCCTTTCCAACAACACGCCACTCCTGTTGATAGAACACCGCTTGAAAACCATCTGGACCTGGAGCCTGCATGGGTTTCATATCAAAAACAGCTTGGTGAATATCCATTATCGAAAAAGGCTGCAGAACACAGAGCCAGTCCTCCTGTCTGATCCGAGGGAAGGCCCCCTTGGGCATGAGGTCAATATAGTGGGACGCCTCCTGCAAATACAGATTAGAAAAGAAGTCAAAGACAAGCTTAGCCAGCTCTTCTTTATCCTGCACCCACTCCCCATTCTTGTTCTTCAGGCACTCGATCTTGTTTAGCCGACGTCGAAAGTTGGCAATTTGGTGAAAGTAAGCCGTGTTCGTCTCTCCAAATTTCACCCAGTTTTCCCGAGCCCTCTGATACCAGTACAGCTCCTCCTGCTCCAGGGTTCTGTCTAATTCTGCTTCGAGCTTGGCATGAAGCTTGGCTAGACCAGGTTGAAAAGAGACTGCTAGCTTCCTTTCAATGCCTTCAATCCTCGCCAACAACCGTTTCTTGCGCTGAAAGACATTGCCAAAGACTTGTTTACTCCAAGTTTTCAGACAGTCCGAGAGTTCCTGCAAAGCCAAAGGGAAATCGTTATTCTGCCCACTCCATTTATCAGTAAGAAAATTGTGAAAATCAGAGTGAGGAGCCAAGCAGCTTCAAATCTGAAGCGTATTGGCGAAGGATGGTTCCCTCCCTGTCTCGCCACTATAGTCAGAATTGGATTATGGTCCGAACTAAGCCTTGCCAAGTGAACCACCGACGTGTTTGGAAAGGCATCATTCCAGTTGATGTTACAAAGGCTCCTATCCAATCTGCTAGCTCTGAACGTTTGCACCTGCCCTCCCCTGCACCAAGTATGTTGCGGCCCTGAAAAACCCAGATCCAGTAACTCTGCCTCATTTAGCCAATTATTAAATCTCCTGCAGCGTCGCAAAACTCTAGGAGTAGCTTGACCGGTAGTCTCCGAGGGTGAAAGAATGGCATTGAAATCGCCAGTTAGGAGCCAAGGGCAGTTGATGACTTTGCTCTGTTCAATGAGATAGCTCCAGAGAAGTTTCTGCAGCTGCTGCCTAGGCGAAGCATATACAGCAGTGAGTTTCCACCTACGACTATTGCCTTTCGAGACCGAGAGGGTTAGATGCTGGAAACTTGCAGAATCAACAGAGACATCAAAGTTCTTGGCATTCCAAAAAAACCAAATACCACCGCTTCTACCATTGGCCTCGACCCTGAAAACATCTGGGTAGCCTAATTTATCACAGACTTTATTGGCAGTCTCGCCGCTGATCTGCGGCTCAATAAGAATGACAAAATCCGGCTTGTGGAGTTGAAGAGCAAGCTTCAAAGAGCGCGAGAAGGCATTACTACCAGCTCCACCTACATTCCAGGCAAGGATTTTAACCTCCAAATCGGAATTAAGAGACATAGATAAAAAACAAAGGAAACAGAAAAGAAAAGGAAAAAACGCAAGGGAAAGAAGGCACCAGGGAGTTAGAGAACAAGAGCAGTCGCGCTGCTTTCATTCTCAGTCGATTCCAAAGCCATCTCCTCCCTTTCGTCTTTGCTTCCTAGTCTGATTTCCGCCTTCTGATTCGCTGTCTCTGTCCATTCTTTGATTTGTTGCAAGGTCAAAGACACCCTCTTTTCCTTGTGCCGCCCCTTCTTTTCTTTCACCGAAGACCAAATTTGAAGTGGCTTAAGATAGTTGTGTCGTATCGGAGTGGATTTCCTTGGTGTCGCCGCCTTCTCGGATCCCCTACCTCGTCCTTCCTTCTTCAGATTGGTTCTGGAAACCGCCGACGGCGTCTCCGGATTTGCGAGGCGAGGAGCTGGTATCTGATACGGCTGCGTCTCCACAATAGTCATCTTAGTGCCATTCTCACCCGCTGTCGTTTTTATAGTTGGCCCGGTCGAAAAGGCCGACGCAGACTCCTTCCCTTCAGTAGAACTCGGCCCATTCCCAGACAGCTTCGAGCCCATATCCATGTGTTGAGACATGGTTGATTTGGGGCTGAAATTCGGCCTGCTAGAAGAGGCTTCCATCGATTTGGGGTTTGAGCCGAGAAGGCCCTTATCAGCTTGCCCTATTTCTTCCCTCATCTTCCCTTTCCCTTTCGAGCCCCCTTTACCTTTCCCCTCTGTTTTCGCCGCCTGTCTCTCCCCTGTCTGTTGCCTTTGCTTTTGTTGAGCTTTCCCCGAGTCCTGCGATGGAAATTTCCCACCAATTTCGCCTTCCTTCCTTTCCTCCTCTTTCCTCGACCCGTTGGTGATCGCCAACAATTGTTCCCCCTTACCTTTTGTGGTCACATCCTTCTGATTCCGCCGTGATTTCCGCGAGACAATCATCCACGGTCCAAACCGGCACTAGCTTCCGGCGTGGAAACGCCGGCCACGATCACCGCCGATGACGTAGATCCTCCATCGCCTTCTCCACTCGGCCGTCGATCTAAGGTAGGGCAAGAGACGTTCGTATGTCCAACCTTCCCACACTCAAAACAGACAACAGGGAGATTCTCATATTCAACCCTCTGCCATCGATCATCCAGCCTGATTCTCGGGACCAATGGTTTCGACAAATCAACTTCAACGGCCATCCGTGCAAACTTTGCCCGCTGCTGATTTTGAGTGTGGTAATCAAGCTTAATGGCTCTACCTAGAAGATTACCCATAGTGAAGAGGAGTTCCTTGTGATAGAAATGCACCGGTAATCCGGGGAACTGGACCCAGACCACCATGGTTTTAGGAAGGCTATCCGTGACTCGAAAGTCCGGCGTCCACTGTTGAACTAGGAGATATTGATCAAAGATGATCCAGGAGCCCTCGGTAAGTGCCTTAAAATAATCCACATCGTTCCCAAGTTTGATCAGAAAGCAATCGTCGTCCAGAGCAAAGATTTCCACATAGCTAGTAGGTCGCCAAAGGATGCGGATCCTGTTACATAGAGTGGCGTATCCAATCTTCCTCCCCAGCAGCCGCACGACCAGAGTTCTCTGCCACGGCTTACTGAGTTGAGATTTGAACTTCTCTGATATCTTCAGCTCCGGTTCACCTTGAAAAGAGCCTGTGATCAGATCATGTTCGCCCACGGGAACCCATTGCACCTCAGGGGATTTTGGTAGATTCATCCCCCCTGTTAACGCCCCTGTTAAAGTGGTTTCTCTATATCTTCTTCTAATTAAGTTAAATGTCGACATTCTTTATTTATAAATAACATATAAGGAGGGAATGACTCACCCACCCTCGATCGTGTATCATCTAACCCGACTCGTGCTTAGTACGAGACAAGTATGGGTATTAACTATTAAGGTACCCACCCTGCCTCGCCCATATCCATTGCTACGTGTTATTATCAAATCATGCATTGATCTTAACATATAACATTAACTGAATCTCATATCTACAATCGATAACCGTTATAATCATGGCATATCCCCAACAAATTTAGATTTCAAACAAACGATCATGAAACATGATCGTAAAACATCATACCCTTCGAATTTAACACCATAGTCAAATTGGTAGCACCCTAACAAAATTGGGATTTCTAAAAGGACGAGAAACTCCTCGTTCATCTGTCGAACTCCTACTACCCAGGCGTTTCTCACATTCCACCTCATCTCACACCTACCATATACCTAGAAAACAACGTGTAATTAAGGGAATATACTCAAATTACGCTTCTACCCTCTATCCGCATAGCGCCACAATAGCTGCCAACACCCAACCGGGCAAAACGCCACACAGATTCAGAATCGCAGATGCCTGCTCTGACGTCCCAGTTCCCACCACCGTTTGAATCCTTGCCTAAAATTCAAATGGACACATCTGCAGAACCGGCTAAACATAGCAATAATTCAATCTCACATAGTGACCCGAAGCCAAAACGACTCCAGGATAATCAAGTAATTTCCAATTACGCTACACAAGAAAAGGACGGGTACTTACTTATTCCATTTTCTTTGATGGGTAGCATTCAATATCTTTTGGGAGTCGGAGAAGTTGGAAAAGTGAATTTGCATCAGAAAAGTTTAATTCATTACTGATTTTAGCCACTGACTGTGACTGGCCGACCATAGGGCTCCTCCTCTCTCTTATAAAGTGACTTTTGTGACCCGGTGGATAAAAAAGATCGCTCCTTTTTCCTCTCCCAATCGAGATTTCCTATCTTTGTTGCTGGTAAACTCCGCCGGCGGCGATGGCGCTTCAGCTATGGGAGACGCTGCAGCAAGCAATCACGGCCTACACGGGTCTAACTCCGGCCACTTTCTTCACAGCACTGGCTTTTGGGCTGGCTATTTACTATCTGCTCTCTTCGTTGTTTGGGCCATCTGATCCGCCGCCGAGGCCCAGGAGCTTCCAGGAGGAGGTCCAGCCTCTGCCGCCGCCGGTTCAGCTGGGAGAGGTTGGCGAGGAGGAGCTGAAGCAGTACGATGGTTCTGATCCCAAGAAGCCTTTGCTCATGGCGATTAAGGGTCAGATCTATGATGTCTCCCAGAGCAGGTATAATCTTGCTACTTTCTGCTTTATGCCCTTCCTTATTTAGGGGTTTATGGCTTTTGACTTCTGGGTATCTGGAATTTGTTGGATTTAAGTTGGGGATTCGGGCTCTTGGATCCTTTTGGTTTGAAGGGCTCGAGCTTTTTTCAGATTGGAAAGCTGTGGGAATTTGTTCCTTTTCGAATTGATGGTTTTTGGTTATGCTTTAACTTCCATTCTTTGGGTTTGATCTCTCCCTATGTGTTCTTTTCCCCCTATGTCCCTTTCTCAGCTGCGTACTTCGAGCCTATGAAAATGGAATGAAATTAGTGGGGTTTTATGGTAATGGTAGTAGCAAGTGTTTGATGGTCACTAACTCCACTAACCAAGATGGTAAAGCAGTTTTCTTGATAATTTGGAACCCTAACAGCCTGCGACTATAGTTTTAACTTTCAAGAGCTTGTTTGGTTTGTATCTGTTATATCCATGTTCGTGGGAAGATTTTGCAAAGCTGTGAATGACCATTGGTTGTGTTTCTGTTGACTATAAATAGATTCAGTTTTCACTATACTTGTAGACTCACTGCATCATAACAGATGACTTCACATCATAGTCCTACATTGGAGTTTACACTAGTGATGTGCTGCAGAGGAGGAAGGATGTACTTAACTCCATTCGTTATCCATATCTGAACTGATTGTATCCTTATGATAGCTCATCTTTATCCTTCAAGGAAGAGGTTAAATTCTAGCCAATTGCTAAGAACCCCAAGTACTATGATTCATTGATTTTTTGATGGCTTGTGTGTACTGCCTGTCAATGCAATCAGCTCAGCAACTGTTACTTAGCTACTGATGTGTTTCATTGACTTTGTGCTCTCAACAGGATGTTCTATGGTCCAGGTGGACCTTATGCCTTGTTTGCCGGAAAGGATGCCAGCAGAGCACTGGCAAAGATGTCCTTCGAGGACAAGGACTTGACGGGAGACATCTCCGGCCTAGGTCCTTTCGAGATGGAAGCCTTGCAGGACTGGGAATACAAGTTCATGAGCAAGTACGTGAAGGTCGGTAGCATCAAGAAGGAAGTCCCAGTAACTGATGGTTCCTCCAGCGAGCAACCAGCAACCGAGAATGGCGATGCCAAGCCTGCAACCTCCGAAGCAGACGATGTCAAGCCAGCTGAAGATGCTCCATCAATGGCAGCTGAGCATACCGAGGTACCCCCAACAAGCGTCGAGTCCAAAGAGGATTGAAACTGCAGAGGACAATTCTTGTGGCTGTGGAGAGCGAACTTCTGAAGGAGAGATGATGCCATGAGAGAGATGTATGTATAAGAAGATGAAGATTCGGTGGGTTATTACTTATTACATAGGGGTTTACTTTTGTTATTTTCAGCTTTCTCATCTCCAACTCAAAACATGTTTCTGTCACAAACAAGAGATTAGCTTTCATATGTTTTTGTCTAATAAGAACACCATTCCGCGATTTAGGCTCTTTACATGGTGGCTGGGGAAACGAAGAACCTTAGTAATATGAATGGCAAAATACACTTTTATAGTTAAATCTAGAGTTAAATCTATTCGCGTTGTGACAAATATAGCCAGTTTTTGAAAAATACACTCGTATAGTCATTCCGCCCAAAACTTTAACGGGAATTTGACAACTGCTGACTGGACTAATGGACGCTTGCAACGTGGACGCGGTTAAGCTGCGTGGCAGGACAGGTGTAAATTGTATTTTATTTCATTATTAAAAAAAAGTAAAACCCTAAAACTAACTTTACAAATTAATCGAGTTTCCTTTTACCATTTCACGCGATTTACCCTTCCTCTTCTCTCATTCTTCTCTCGTCAAACACAGCTCCCCAATCTCTCCCGATCGACGAATCGATCGAAGACCACACCCCGACTGCCCGACCCACTTCTCTGTCGCTTCAGTGAACGACGTCTCCCATATCGCTCTTCCATATCCGGTGAATAGACGACGTCTCCCATATCGCTTCAGTGAACGACAGAGGAAACCATGCATCATCCGGCTGGTGAATAGACGACGGCGCGAACCCTACTCCTTCGTCTCAGCCGGGCAATCGTCGCTATCATCCTTCGTCGCACCCGTCGCTTGATTCCAGTATCGCGAGACGAGGTCGGCGAACCCTAATTTTGGTTTCGCGTTTGGCTGGTGAGTGAAGACAAGAGTATTGGGTTATAGTGTGCGAATGTTATTGCTGGAATGAGGTTGATTAAAGTGCAGTTTTTGGTATCTATTTATAGGTGTTGGCGATCTGTAAAGCTTGGAGAGCGACAGAACAAGTTCGTGAAGGGACCACAGAACTTCTCTTTGTGGCGAGATTGCCCCTGAATCAAACGGTAAGAAGCTCATCACATTGGATACAAAAGTCAATTTGTAGTGACGACAAATGTGCTTTGAAATTGGTTATTTGATTCGCAATTCTTTAGTGGATAGCCTGTTGTATGCGATTTGTTTATTGTAAAGCAGAAAGTTGGTTCCACTTAAGACTAATTAACCAATTAATTATGTAATTATATAGTATATAATGACAATAAGGTTGTTATCTTAACAGATGGCAGACTCGTGGGATGAATTGGTGGGCGAAAATGACCCAAATCAGATTGGTCATGATGAGGCTTCGCTAGGCAGCCACAATGTTGAAGATGCTTCTGTTGCTCCTGATATATATCATGTTTATGACTCCGATGACGCAATGACATCAGATGATGAATATCACGAGGCTAGAGCTAACCTACGTGCATATGGTGAAGGGAGGAAAAGGAAAGTGATTGCAAGAGTTGCTGCTGGTGGAGAAGAAGTAGACCAGTTTGAGGAATTTGAAGAATCTGACTCTGAAAATGGGGAGGAGGAAGGCCAAGATGATGGTGAGAATTCACACCACTCCACTCCCCTTCAGAATACTGAGTCACCCGAAGAACCTCAGCCACCTCGAGTTGATGTTAATGGGGAGGGCTCTCAGCATTCAAACTACAGATTGTCAGAAGAATCAGATCATGTAAGGGGCAACTTATCAAATGAGGAGGATGGTGATTTGTATGATGATGCACCACGGTATGATCCACTCTGCGACCATAAGAAACTTGAGTTTGTATGTAGAATGAAATTTGATGGGGTAGAGCAGTTCAAAGATGGCGTTGTAAGACATTCTGTAGCACATGGTGCATGTCTGAGATGGACTCGGAGCAACTCTACGAGGAGAGAGGTTAAGTGTAAAGATGGGAACTGTCAATGGAGGTTGTATGCAAGCTAGTTCAGGAAGGATAAGTGCTTCATGATAAGGAAAGTGGGGCTACCACACTCATGTGCAAGGCGTCTCTCACTTAACCAAGTCACAGCTAAGTGGATTGCCTCAGATATGTTAGAGAGATTCAGAATTAACCCAGAGTGGGCTCTGGAACATATTATGGCTGAGGTGAAGTTAAAACACAATATGGAGGTGAAGAAGAGAACTTGCTACAGAGCTAAAGTAGAGGCTATCAAGATGTTAAGTGGGTCGTTGAGTGATGAGTATAACTTGATTAGGAGATATGTAGTTGAGTTGAAGAAGAGGGATAGGGATGGTCGTTTCCAGCTGGAAGTTGACCCGCAACCAGATGAGGATAAGTGCTTATTCAAGCGCTTATATGTTGGCTTTTCCTGTTTGAAGGATGGATTCCTTTTGGGCTGTCGTCCGATGTTTGGTTTGGATAGCTGTTTTCTTAAAGGGGAGGTAAAAGGTATGCTGCTCACAGCAGTGGGTAAAGATGGAAACAACTAGATGTTCCCAATTGCATGGGCGGTTGTGGAAGGAGAAAATACCAACTCTTGGACATGGTTCGTGGATATTCTAACTGAAGAACTTGGTTTAATTGATGGTAGAGGATGGACTGTTATATCGGACCAGCAGAAGGTATAGTAATCTTTCATGTGATTTTACTTTGAATATTTCTCATGTTTTTTATATTAATCCTATTTCTCTCCACTAGGGTCTGGTTGAAGCGCTCCACTCAATACTACCTGAAGCAAAGCATCGAAAATGTGCTAGACTGATGAGTTGTGTCCGAGAATTAGGAAACGTTTAGAGAAGGAAAAGGAGGTTGCTAGGCTGTGTGTATCTAGGCAATCTCACAATATGAGATGTGAAGTTAAAATGGGGGCTGAAGGGTACATTGTAGACCTGACTTTGAAGGAGTGCAGCTGTGGTTATTGGCAGTTGAGTGGGTTGCCATGCTGTCATGCAGTTTCTGCTATCAGCCACTTGAGGAAGAATCCGGATAATTATGTTCATCCTTCTTACCTTGTTCGGAATGTGGAGGAGTGCTACAAGGTGGGGCTGCCTTGTCTTGATGGTAGACAAGCATGGCCTGAAGCCAGTGGGTACGAAGTATACCCTCCTAAAGACAGACCAATGCCAAGCCGCCCCAAAAAGAACAGAAGAAAGACAGCTGGGGAGAGGGAAAGAAGACCACAAAAAAGGGTTGGTGAAGAAGTAACTCAGAGGGGTAGCCTGGTTCATTGCTCCAAATGTGGAGCTGAAGGGCACAAAGCAAGGGCATGCCCAGCACCTGTTGCTGCCGTTGCTGCTCGAACTGTGGTAAACTTCCAAATTTTATAGTTTCACATTGTCCCTTCATATTACATTGTCACTTAACCGATGGTTGTATGCTTGAAGGGAATGACTACACGTGCCACAAGGAATGGACCTGCTGCTGCCACAAGGAATGGAGATGCTGCTGCCAGAAGGAATGGAGCTGCTGCTGCTCCACCTAATGAGAGTCAACCAAGATAGAGGAGAGGCAACCACTGCTCCAAGTGTGGCTCGCCACACACAATGCCAGAACCTGTTCGTTGAACAGGGGAGTGGGAATACAAGTAAGTGATTAGTGTAGATGAATGTTAGGTTAACTAGTGTAGAACAACCTTAGGTTAACTGTTTTGTTTTGTTTGTAATATAGGATGTGAGGTTGAATTTTGGCGATCGTTTTACGATTGAAGGGAGCTTCGTCAAGCAACAAGAGGAATTGGTGTTTATATTGATGAGACCACTGGTAATCAATATGTTAGGGTGAGTAATTGGTTTCTTTCTTTCTTAGTTACACCATTTTTTCTTGTGTCATCACTAATATGACATTTAACAAATCTGTTGAATACAGCTGAATGGGGCAAATGGGAGATTTGTTGGGAATCCATCTCCAACCCAGACTACTGAGATGGATCTGCCAGGGAGCCAGCCACCACCAACCCAACCTTAGAAGTTTAGTTAACTTCTCATGAGTCGAAATATTGAACAGGGCATCCAACCCTTGCTTAGAAGCAGCTTTGTCAACTCATGTAATTCGGCTAAGACAATTTATGTTAAGTTTTAGGTTTGTTTGCTAGGTGTAGCTGAAGGAAACTCTCTATCTTAGGTTGATGTTCAACTCAAATGTCAGAATGTAATCAGGCACTAACTATCATGCTCGTTAATGTGTGCTCCAGACTATTGTAGAAACCAGATGATTTTGCAAGAATTATGTTAGGTTCAATCGTTCCATGCTATTTTTTGCAAAGAAAATAGGTTGTTTACCCCATTTCATACCAACTTTAAATTTCAACTTGCACATTACATACGATCGATACAAACTTACTGCTTCCACAGAAATATAATCAGTAAGACATTAAGAACCAAGAAGAAACTAAGCATATATCGAATCACTCGCAATTCATTATACAAATTATGATACTCAGTTGTTCGATCTCTCTCAATTTTCATCCAATTGCATAACTCTCCTCCAGCAATAGCTTATCCTTCTTCATTCTCACTGCCTTCGATTCGGCCAGCCTTAAGCTTTCTTCCAACTTCATCATCATACCGTCAACATCATTGTTTCATGCCTCTGATATATCAGAACTTGACTCCACCCAACGAAAAAAATTGCACCCACCTTTCGGATCCTGCAACATTGACGTTCCTAAGACACAATAGGTCATAAAATAGTTCATAGAAACTACGATTTGCTTACCATCCAATTAGGGCAACCATAAAACTGTCTGCCTGGGTTCAACTCAGTCCCAGAAGTTTGTACCAAAGCAGGGAGTTTGCACTTGCAAATGACAGCACCAACACCTTCACTTTTGATGTTCGTTGACCCAGAATCGCCCAAATCCCTCCCGACGTTGCTCCGCCCAACCCTGTGCGACATGGATAAATCGGCGACTGGATAAATCGGCGACTGGAACCAGAGGGAGAAGTGAGGAAATGGGAAGGAGAGAAGGAGAAGGAGAAGGCGATGGGGAGGAGAGAAGGAGAAGGCGACGGGGAATATAGAGGGAGAAGGCGACGGCGATGGGTAAGAGATCGAGATCGAGAGAGAGCGGCGGCGGGGATGGGGTTTTCCTCCGCAAAACCTAGAATGGAAGGTGGATTGATAATGGTCGACAGTTTTGGAGGAGTGAGTGGGATTGAAAATAAGTAAAAATAAAGAAGGTAAAAATAAAAGGTAAAAATGACGTGGAAAAATGTTGTCGAGTTGGCGATGATGTGGCAACCGCGTGACATCCACCTCAGCGCCACGGAGGGCTTACCGACGGCGTCTG